GAAAAAGCATTAGATGGGTTTAGATCCATAAAATTTGACAATCAAAGGCTGTTTTAGGACATGGCTACTTTATTCCATTTTTACCAACATAAGAATTAATATTTTTTGCTGACATAACAATTAATCTCTATTCAGACCCAAAAAAAAAAAGAAGTAATTAGGAAATAAATTGATGTTTATTCATCTAAATTAGGTTTATGACATTCATCCATGTTAATTATTTTGCAAATGTCACATTTTTTTCCAGAAATTTCATTTAAACATTGAGGTTTTGAATCATTTCAATTGCGGGGTATACAACGAAAAATATTGTATTAAGCTTTTGATTTAGAATAATATTAGTTAGTCCTAAATTACTAACCTAATCCAACACAATTCTTTAATCGATAATAGATCTCAGTTAATACTGGTGTTTATTGTCAATCCAATACCCCTGATTGGTCAGTAAATTAAATCCTGATAATATTACTATTAATTTATTATACACATTTAAATTTCGATATCAGCGAATCGAACAAAATCCTTTGATTGTTAGTGGGTCTCAATTAATACTATGGGGTTCACAGTCAATCTGATAACTCTGATAGGTCAAGAAATTAGGTTAACAAACTAGATCCCGATAATAATCTGATAACTCTGATAGGTCAAGAAATTAGGTTAACAAACTAGATCCCGATAATATTACTATCGATTTATAATACAAAATTTTAGAAAACGATTTCATCATATAAAAGAAAAGTTTGGTTATCTTGATTGGGAGGACATATTCAGAAAATTGATGGGTTGCTCTAACTTTTCAGTCTCAACCTGAAAGTAACATTCAACCAAAAAGTTTTGGCAAAAAATCCATGAAATTTCAGAGAGAAAACTAAAGTCTAGTTAATGTTTGGCATTTAAAACATGAGTAGTGTTATCTGTGTTGAAGTATACATACTTAAGTTATATTTTCTTTAATAACTTAAGTTTTTAGAATAGATAGATAGTTATTTAACATGTTATCAGAGCATGAGATTTTGTGTTCGAATCTCGCCGCCATCTTAATTATTAAAAAGATTTCCATGAGCTAAGCCCAAAATCTAGCCTGCAAGTAAGGAGGCGTGTTGAAATATAAATCCTCTCTCCAATAACTTAAGCTTTTGGAGTAATACTTTAGATCTAATTAATTTGCCGACCCAATTCCATTGTTAATCCATAATTATAATAAATTAGTCAAAAAATATAATCAATAAATTAAGTCCAAATAACATTCCTCTTCAAAAACTATCACTGGTGATAGAGATCAGGGGTCCTAAAACCCATTAGAGTGTACTGTAAGGCTCAAATACCTATGAGTAATGATACATAATTCAAATAAAATTAAAAAAATTGTAACGTAAATGTATATCATCCATTGAATGAGTGAGTTTCATCAATTTTTTCAGTAAAACCTACTCGTCCAACACTCATTGAAAGAATGATATACATTTAGGGTTACATCTTTTGAGTTTCATTTGAATTATGTAGTATTTTTCAATATCTGTAGGCCTCATCATGGTGCGTAAATGTCCACACACACACACACTTCCTCTTTTAGGGTTCGTATCTCTGTCAGAATATTCTTGTGTGTAAGAAGATATTATAACTGCTTTTTATTATCTTAGTAATATGAGTATGTGTTAGAGTGTAGGCAACAACCGTCCTACCAATAGGACAACAATCTCTATTATTTGTTTCATTTTCCTTCTCCTTCAAAACCCAACACTCAACCAGCGTGTAATGTAATTTGATATCGGAGCAACGTTGTAAAGTAAGAAATTGCTAAAAAATAATAGAAGTTATCTTAACAAAAAAACCCTTATAATTAGTCAATGACATCAGCAGCTTACCAAAATAATAAAGTACTGTTACATGAACATGGCACCAACAATTTTCGACGAGGGAAATACATGTGAAAGATCATCTCTTCATGCTTGTTATTTTAGGTGATTTGTTGGATCGATAGAAACTAGTTATGGGTAAGGAATCAATAGACTTAATGAGAATTGAATATGAGATCTCATTTCTCTTCATTTTGGTGTGTAATTTGTTAGTTGTCGTTTAGTCTATGTTGTGAAGTACCATCCAGATGACTCTCTTGGGTGCCTAATGGTCTGATTGATTGTCAATGGCTACATCCAAACATATGTTTGGAGTACTATGACTTTGTCTTCTTTTGCACGTCTTAACCCTGTTACAGTTTCATTTTCTATTGTAGAAAGTTTTGATTGACTTTCATATCACATTGATATAAAGACTATTTTTCTATATGAGGATCTACAAGAGGTAGTATACATGATTTAGCCAGCCACCGAGCGATGTTGTTTTGGTAAAAGAACAATAAATACATCGTTTGAAGAAAATATTGTATGGTCTTATACAATCATCGTGCATGGTCTAATAGGTTTAGTGTCTTTGTGCTCCAATTTGTTTTTCACCGTTGTATTTCAGATTATTTCTAGTGTTCACCGATCATTCCTCTATCGGTATCATATTTCTCATTATGTATGTTGATGACATTGTTATTAGCAATAATACTCAGAGGTATTTATTCCCTTAGGATCTATTTACGAAAGTAGTTTCACACCAAATACTTGGATCTTCTTCGCTACTTTATGAGAATTGAGGTTGCTTGATCCAATAAAAGTATCAGTCTTTGTTCTGCTCTCTAGTTTGTGATAAGCTAATTGATCTTCTAACCCTTATGCAACTATATTTTTGTAAGCAGACACTTTTGTGAGTGTTAATGATCCATTATTCATGAGTTTATTAAATATATCGAAATTGATTGTTATTTTAATTAGAATCTTATAATGAAAAAAGAGATTATTGTTTGTCAACCTTTAGTAGTCTTTGTTTGGTCTTTCTTTTTTTTTTTTTTTAAATCTATGTGCTCCACTTTAAGGGAGGGTGTTAAGGGTTGTTCTATTGTTTAAATATTATTTTGTAGGACACTATTTTACTTGTCTCAATTATCTCCTTTTATGTACCCCAAAAAATAAAAAAATAAGTTGTAAAAACACAGACACCCCCTAACATTTTACAAATAACATGGAGACCTCCTTTGTCTCCCTTCCATCATTGCTAACGAAAAATGATGATTTCATCCCAGTTTTATTTATTATTTTCACAAGTGCCATACTCCAAATTTAGTACTCAAAAAAATTAAAAATTTAATAAAATCAAATAAAATTTAATTTAGTATCCAAAAAATTGATATAATTTAATATCCAAATAAATTGATTAAATGAATTTCAATATTAATTTGATAACAGTAAAAATTAATTTGATATTAATTCGACAAAGTTGAATATAAATTGAACAAAATTAAATGTCAATTTAATAAAATTTTATATTAATTTACAATCTAAGGTTCATTTCGTGTTAAATATTATTTAAGGTTTATTAAACTAACACAAAATTGACTTGAAATATTAAATTTTTTATTATAGATAAACTTAAAAATTTATATTTTAACACATAAAATTAAAAAACATATTTTTTTTAGTAGCATAACGCCTTCCCTCTTTTTTTTTTTGGTTGAGATTTAACTACGTATACTTAAACCAAATCAATTGTTTACCCCCACTTTTTTTTTTTTTAAAGAAAATCACTTTCCTTCACTTGGTAAACTCAAAAACCTCTTATTCATGTAAAAAAAAAATGAAAGTAAATTAAAAAGTTGACCAAAAATTTGAAAAAAATGATAGTTTAAAAAAATTTAATACCAAAAAAAATTGATAATAATGTCAAAAATATAATTTAAAGTCAATTTCGTGTTTGATTTGATCAATAACAAATAATATTCAACACAAAATAAACTTTAGATTATAAAATAATATTTAATTTTATCAAATTGACATATAATTTTGTCAAATTAATTTTTATTGTTATCAAAATTAATATTAAAATTCATCTAATCAATTTTTTGGGGTACTACATTAAATCAATTTTTTTGAGTACTAAATTTGGAAAAGGACAATTGTAAAAATAATAAAAAATTTTGGAATGAAATCATCATTTTTTATTAGCAACATTGACGGAAGGGAGACGGAAAAGGGTCTCCGTGCAAAGAGTTTCAAACTTCAGGGGGTCTTTATATTATTTATAAAATGTCAGGAGAAATCCATATAATATTACCAAAACTCAAGGAGTGTTCGTGTTTTTTACCCAAAAATAAATTAAGTTCTTGATATGAATATGCGAGAGTAATTGGGATCCTACCTTTGATTGATGGTAATACTAGAGAATCTGAATTTACGATGCTGAACTAAAAAAATGATACGAAAAATATACGTAACAATATAACATTCTTGAAAACAAAAGTAAAACAAGCTAAATATATATGCAAAATGTAGAAATGTTAAGAGAGATGATTAAAATATGAGGAGCACAATCTACCCATTGAAGAAAATTGAAAATTAAAAGTAGGCCGTTGATCTTGTTATGGAGATCAGATGATAGACAGAAAAATTGAAAGATTATTAAATAAATAATTTTGACTGCTCAACATCAATGAAAAAAAAGAAGCAAAAGATTGTGAAATTTAAAGACAAATCTAACCATGATCACTCTAGGGATGTTTTGAGAGATTAAGATCAATTTTCTTATATTAGATTGTAAAATTCTATGATCCGCATAGAGATTTTGATAACCATGTTTTTCCTGGATCTAAATCACCTCCAATATGCTTTTCTTTCAATTCTCTTATTGGCATATCATCTATCATTAATAAATGAGAGACCCTCTATTGATGAGTGAAAGACCACTTGTATACAATGGGTCCCGAATGAATGAATGGTTAATGATGTGTCAAGAAGAAAATTGAAGAGAAAGTGTGTTAGAGTGGACCCACTATCATGCACTTTAACTCATCCTTATGCAATGGTAACCTGAAATCAAGCATGGAATATGAAATCCATTCATGCCCTGAACAATCTGTAAAATATGACATTTCTAAAACACATCCTTGTTAACACCCTTCAACTTGCAAGAGCCCTCAAGAAACTACACCATCACATGGAGATTACAGTGACCTATAATATGCAAAATGAATCAAAAAGCACCTGAACCTGGAATGGTGGCCACAATTAAAAGTATTACTGACTGCAAGTGAGTATCTGTCTTAGTTACCAAGACCCGAGAAGTGATTAACCATGAAACTGTAAATGCATTCGACCATTGAATAATAACAATTTTGCAGAACAATTTGTTGCTAATAGTGCCAAAGTCACTTTGTTTCAAGGTGAAAATGATACAGAAAACCAAAATCCCAATCTTAAAATTGTAACTTCCAACCCATCACCAGTATCTAATCTACCGGAACCTCAACTTCCATCTTCAAGCCAGAGTTGCCAAGTATCTGTAAAAACAATAGGGATAATTAATTTTGTAAGGAGTATTAAACCTAAAATAGTGAAATTTAGCAAGTCACTTACATGCCTAAAATAAAATTTATAACAGACATTTCTTACCAATACGAAGTTTTTTTTTTTTTTTTTTTTCACTCAACAGAATGTTCAAGGAAACTACAGCGTCAGCTACACAGAGTTGGGCTTATTGCAGAAAATTATCCATTATTTTGTCTAAGGGAAGTCTAAAAATCCAAGAATTCTGTAGTTCCAAAAAGGTAAGGAGAACATTTATAGACAAAAACAGGACATGAACCAGTGAACATGATGTTTTGTAATGTAATTGTTAAACAACCATCCACTCTAAAAGTTTAAGCTGAAATACGTCCCCTCACATGCAAGTTGAATTTTGGACTAGCACACAAAAATCTTTTAATAAATAAAATGGGGCGAGATTCGATCATAGGTGCTCGTGCTCTGATACAGTGTTAAATAATTATCTACTCCAAAACCTTAGGCTATTGAAGATGGTGTAACTTAAATATTTATATTTCAACAGTAATAATATTTAGGATTAATAGCACTTTTGATCCCTAAACTATGTATTTTTTGTCATTTTAGTCCTCATTGTATCAATTTTGTCAATTTGGTCCATAAAGTATTCAATTCGTGTTATTTTGGTTCCTACATAGTCGGACTGTTAAGTTTTTAATAGAATAATCACATATTGGGTATGTGATACCTTCTAAAAAATTGACACGTAGTCACTTCTATCAAAAAAAACTTGACGAATTGTATGATAAGAGACCAAAGTGACACAAATTACGTACTTTAGGGACTAAATTGACAAAATTGATATAATGAGGACTAATATGACAAAAAATACATATTTTAGGTCCCAAAAGTGCTATTAACCCCAATATTTACAACATTGCAGACAGATAGTGCAGTCAAATACCATCAAACTTGTGGCTAAACTAGGTGCATTTCAAGGTATGTAGATATCTATGTTACACCCTTTCTAGAAATTTCAATTTTAAGATGAGTTGTTAGTCTAACATGGTATTAGCACTAGAGGTCTTAGTTCAAATCTCATCACCACACTGGTAATTTTAAGACTTCACATATTTGACCCAGGCTTTGCCTGCACATAAGGGGAGGGGTTAGTGTAAGTAAATATTTATATTGCACCTAAACATCTTAACTTTTTGGATGAGTTAGTGGTTTAACAGTGCAAACCAAACTTTTCGCATTTTGCTTGCATGAAAGGGCTGCCTTGTCATCATACAAAATTGCGCGTGCTCATTATATGATTTACACGACAACAATAATTCTGGTTCTCGTAACAATCCTCCCGCACAGTCTTTCCTCAGAAAATAAAAGAAAAAGGAAAGCATGAATTCAAGATTGATAGTCCAGACATATTATAGATGTGTCAGACTATGTGAGAAAGTGTCAACACTGTGTGACATCTCTTTAGGAGTATGCATGCTAGTTAAAGTGCACATGTCCAACATTATTATCACATGTTGTACTCATACCATGGCATAAAATGCTACTGTCATTTGTCACACCATGTTATGCACAAGAGCTTACCTTTTGATACTATATCATTGTCACATAGAAGGACTTCATAGCATAATACAATGTAAATGAGAGAGAGAGAGAGAGAGGAGAGGAGCACCATACAAACAACAAATAGACAATACTATTTTAGAATTTTGACATCCACGTCCAGACATCCAAACCCAGGATAAATAAATATTCAGGTTGTACCAAGTACTCATGATAGTGTAAACTGATCTGACCTTCATAAAGTCAGATAAACCTAGCAAAGAATCCTTTGAGTAGCCTGCTTCCTCAAGAACATGGGTCAGGACTCGCTGTACAAACACAAAGACAAGCACCAGCTTTAGTCACTTATAAACCTTTACATCGTCAATCAAGAGGACTGAAAAAGTTTTGGCTCTTTTGACCAACTAGCAACATTCAAATAGTAAAAATATTATGGGAACAATGATTCTTTTGACAACATTATTTATAATCACATACCTCAAACACACTAAAGAAAAATTCATTCCTTTTTTTTTTCCTTCTTCACGCTTAGTATTTCATTTCTACTAAAATGTTACAATTTTAGCAGCACCAATCATTTGGCTTATATTACCATCCTATAAAACATGTATTCTAGGAAACAAGATGTATGGGATTGCCAATAGATTTACTTCTTTTTTTAATAGTTCTGCATCAGTCCCACTTTCCAACAACCATAAAACAAAAGAAAATGAACAGATTTGAAAATGATTGTTATTCCTATCATCCTTCCTTCCTCCCCACCCCCCTACCAGTCCTCCCCCAGCATTCTTCTATTTTGATGTTTGCCAATCAAAGAGGACAACCAATTCAGTCTAGAACATGAATTCAATGATAAAAGACCTGGAAACACTAAATTAGGAAGCTCTTGCATCAAATAAAAGTGGCACCTCAACTAGCTATAGCCAAATTAGCAATATGGTGAAATTAAACTAAAAAAAGTTGGTGGCAAAGGCCCATAAAGGGGGGAACTAAAGGCATTTTCTACCTCCCCCCCCCTCTCTCCTACGGCAGGGAAAAAAAAGAAAAAGTAGGAGGAAGAGGGGTTTGCTACGGAAATGAACAATAAGGATATCATATCATATTTGACTAGATTTCATGCTTTCAAACTAACAAAAACAAATTTTCCAATTCTTTTCCTATTGAAATCCATATGAAATTTGAGTTTTCATTTTGGCATTCAAAAAGGAAGCTACCTTTGGTTGGTGAAAATACATTGGAAAGGAAAACTAGAATTTCACATCTCAGATTATTTACAATGTTCTCGCCCTTCCCTTATGGTTTGGGAATGCAAAGAATTTTCACTCAACGCCTACTATTATCATTGCCATACAATGGAGAAGTTCTTCAAAATTTTCCATCCTTTTCTCTGAGAATAGAATTGCAAAAAACATAGTATGTGGAACTTCAAAAACTTGGAGAAGTTTTTTATTTTTTTTCCATGGTTTTCTCTAAGACTAGAATTGGGAGTAACCTAAAAATTTGGAACTTCAAATTAAAATTTTCAAGGTTTTGCTAGAAAACGTTAAGAAAAGACACACATGGGTGAAGAAATCAACCTCCCTTTGTGGCTCAGATATAAAATGTCCAGTCAGGTCTCGCAGAATATCCAACAAGTCATTGAATGCAACCTTCCCATTGCCATCAGAATCATAAACCTTAAAAATGACTACAGAAACAAATAAGTACCACAATGACAACATAGATTGAAATGTAAGACTCTGAATGGCATTCAGCAAGTGAAAACGATAAAACAACACCAACTAGACTAGAAGATACAGAATAATTTTAGAAAGACATATAACAGAAAGAATCATTACATTCCACTTTATGCTGCAAGCTTGCTCGGGAACTGAATGCAGACAAGAATGCCACAAACTCCTTAAAATTCAACCCATCCAGCATCCTCTGCAATCTCTGAAAAAGCAAACGGCATTTTGAAATTCAAATTTGGCAACCCTACTCAGTTTCTCATCTGATCATTGCAAGTATGCAACGTTTGTGCAGATAGACCGCCATGGAAGTATACACATACATCCTTGCACACACATGTATACAAAACAGTCATATTGGGTCCCTCTTGGGCTCCAAATATTATATCTAAGTTCTTAGGTGGTACTTGGTGGCATGGAATTAATGCCTTGTAAGCAGTATTGCAAGATAAAAGTAGTTTTATCAGTGTATGAGCCAATATAGTCTTCAATTCAAATTCAAGGATGTGTTTCCACAATACCAAATTGCCTTCTTTTTATTGTATTTTTCAAATGCAAGAATGAGGACAGTTTCATGCTCCAATACCCTAATTTTTACTGACTTTTTCACATTACCCACTTTGATTTTAAATAATCACAAGGATATATGGAACAATCCCAGAAGAGTATAACTTATTCCCCAAAAGTTACATGCTTTTCTAAGATCAATCTTAACTTCTATATTTTTCGTTATAACTTAATCCCGAAATTTGTAATTTAACCTACAAAAATTTGTAATTTTTAGTATGTAGCCTCCTTCTTACCCACATGCTAGATAATTTTTTTTTGGTAAAAGAGAAGTTGAGAGTTTTGGCAAACAAGAACCTGAGAGAGAGGATTGACGGCAAATTCGGGCACAGACATGAACTCTTCGGAAGAGATGAAGCCACCCCCATTGCGATCCAGCTGACAGAACCTCTGATACAGAGCAACTATCTCCTGCTGTGAAACTGAGGAATAACAACAACAATACTTCTCAATAATTAAAAACCAAAACATAATTTTTAGAAAAATTAAATTAACACCCACAAAACTATATGATTGTTTGTGTGCTTACAGGTGTGATTGCAGTGTTCTTGAACTTCTTCAATGTCGTATTGAGTAAGCATCGAAGATGTGTTGCCCATGGCCTTGAAAAAGCAGAGATCGAGTGAGGTTAAGGCCTAGGTAAGCTAGAAGAACCTTAATTTGATGTTTTTTGACATCGGAAAACATGAAATCCTAGGGAAGATTTGGAGGGCGTGTTTGGTTGCCTGATTACGAGGCTGACCAGTTGACACTGCATTTGTTCAACAACCCGCTTGGGGTCCGCTCCTCTGCTGTTAGTTTTCTCTTACGACTTAAACAGAGGTGGCGTAGATTAAAATAGTATCATTTTGTATTAAACCGACATCGTTTTGATTAACAATATTTCTACTATTAATTTTTTAACAGAATTTCAGTCCTGCTTGAGAGGTGGCGTTTTTTTTTTAAATAATATTATTTAGATTTAATTTATTAATTTAATCAATCACAGCTTTAGATTGTTAGCATATTCCGATAAATATTGGGTTCACTGTCAATCCATGATTATGAATTGGTGCGAAGCCAAAGTCTCTTTTTTGTGGGAATAATCATCAAGTTAAAGAGAACAATTACACAACAATTATCAAAATTCGTTACATCTAGTGAACATGATTTTTTTTTTTTTCAAAATTTCATTCTCTATAAAAAATGTTCTCAATCTAAACACCTTTTATAAAATCATTCTTCACATTATTTTTTTTACTTTCAAAAATTTCTCATATAAATATATGTGAAAAAATGATAGGACATAATAAGAAAAATTAATATAATTTTTTTTGTATAAAGTACTAGAAAATACATGTGAAAAAATGATAGGACTTAACTAAGAAAAATTAATATAAATTTTTCTGTATAAAGTACTAGAATAAAGATAGTTTTCATGTAGAATGTTATTTTGACCTATCACTTTGTGAGTAAGCTTGTCAATGATATAATTTCGACTCATCCGAATGATAATTTGTCTTAAAAAGTTTATTTTAAATCTAATCTAATTATTTAAGTGATTTTATTTTTATAATCCATATTCGAATCTATTAAATATTGTGAATTTTATCAAAAATTCAATTAAAAAAATATATTTATTTATTTATCGCACTGTAATTTTAATTCAATTTTATAGCTTAGTTTCATTAAATGTTTACATATACATATTTGTATGCATATCAAATTGAATCGAAGTGAATTAAATCATAATCAGATTAATTTTTTTTATGCCCAAATCTAAATTTTAGAATATGATGTAGTATATTCAAACTTGGGTAGTTGGTCAAAAATATTAATTTATGCCTTAGTAATGGAATTTGGAGAATGATTGATTTGATAATTTAAGTGAGTCATTGTAGAAGAAATAAATATAACCGGAGATCACTAAAGAAAAAATTGTAAGATTAAGTCTATATGAGCAAATTTTGAATCTAAGTTTTTAGTTCATTAAAAAAAATGAGTGGGGGTAAGTTACTATAAAATTTAATTTTTATTATAATTTTAAATTAACCCTAATTTTTTTTAAAATTTCAGTCTGGGCAATTGCCCGCGCCCCACCCCGCCTCTTCCCCCTAATTATGAGCAATTATGTCAAAAAATTAATTTAATAAATTAAATCCAAATAATATTGCTCTTTTTTTTTTACTTTTTTTTTTTTTTTTCCACTATTGTGGTTTGTGTTGTAGGCTAGAATAAAGAATTAAATGAAGAAAAGTTGAATTAATACACTTTTTATCTACATAAAAAAAATAAACATTTGCTCTCTCTTTTGTGTCTGGTGGCAGGAATGAGAAATACAAGGAATTATTTATTTTCGTATTTGGTATGAATGAAAAAGTAAAAGAACAAAAAATATTTATTTATATTTTATTATTATATCTACAAAATATCATATCCATAATAATATATTAATAAAATGTCAACAAGAAAAAAATTTATATCTTTATCTATTCTATATTACTTGTAAATATTAGCGAGAAAAAAAATTAATTTTTTATTTTATCCTTAATAATGCCAACATCTGAGAAAAATTTTATTTTATTCATAATTATTATTATAAGGTCAATTATACCATATATTTACCTTAATCTAATTTTTATTTTCTCTACCTCTTTTACTTCTAAATTCTTTAGACTTTTTTATTATTAATATTCGACTTCTAAATTTTTTTTGACTCATTTATTAGTATTACATTTATATATGATTCTCTGTATATTTTATTTTTCGGTAAGCAACAATATTATAATACAAACAATACTTTACAATTTGATCAATCTGTTTGACAAAAAAATATAAAAAATATATAATATATATTTTTTGCTAAATGTAAATTGAGATTTAAGGGAAAAGAAAGTTACAAAAATAAAATCAAGCATCGAGGCTTGATACATGGCCGTAGGTCTTACAATGTAGCTCACCACCTGATCCAAAAAAAAAAAAAACATCTCCTAGATACGTAAACCAAGACATGAAGAAAATAATTCTATTTTCATCATTTTCATTGACATCATTTGGTCACTTAATGGCAATTCGTCCAAAAGACTTTCGCCTTAATGACGATTTACGAGATTTTGTTATGGGTCCTTGAAACATCTTGCTAGTGCAAGTTTTGCAAATGCCAATTCCATGTAACTTTAATCCATTGAATCCTCAGAATCCCAAGAGACTAAGCTATCCATACCATCATCTTTATCAAGTTCACCACATTTACTTTTCATTTGATTCCAGTAATGAGTGATTCAATTGTTCCATTCGCCTTCATCCTCCAAGCTGCTTTGCCCTTTAGAATATAGTTAGTGACGATTTGAAATGGGGCGTAGTCGCCAGCTTCTCCTTGTGGGTTTTACTTCTTGGTGTTTTATGCTGCGCTGCAAGCCATAGACCAAAGTTTTCTTCCTCTTTATTTTAGGAGTTCGTAAATCTTTCCATGGTGGCTTTGTGCCATTTGCTTTTGCTGAAAACGTGTGATTTTGGCAAGTGATCGATGCACCGCAAACATCAGTGTCTTGTCCAGGATGGCCACAGGTAAAACATATCTTTTTAAGGCCTTCGTACATGATCCACTACTTGTGTTTGCCAATGAAAAAATGCGAGCCAAGAGGTTGAGAGATATTAATTTGAACATACAATCTTGCAAATATTTTCAAGAGATGTCTTCAATTGTGGCGTCAATCTTGATTATCCTACCAAGTTTGAGTCCAATTTTCTTCAGGATGAGAGGGTCGTAAAACTCAATTGGTAACCTAGGTAAATGAACCCATACTTCCATTGTTGAACACCAATGCATTGTTGTCCAATGAACCACGGACCTTCACTAAGTATCCTCGTGGCATCTTCTTCAAGGTGGAAACGGGCGATATATATAGAAGCCTTCACCTAAAGCTAAACCTTCCATTTTATCCTTTGTCTTCCATAAGGCAGTTAATTTCCCAACCAAGCATTGGTAGTTCTGTGTGCACCCATAGGTTTTGAAAATAATAGCATAACCCAAGGAATTCTGATTCAGGCTTTTTCTTCTTTGGACAGACTGATTCTGGGACTGCTGGACTCCTCAAAATTTTCTTCCAAATCTGACTCCACAATTTGCATTGAGTTGGTGTGGACTTCTTTGCGCATTTCTGGGACTAAGGCATTCTTGTAGGAAATAGGTAGGGTGTCTGTTAAGGTGGGAGTTACGATGTGATTTGGGAAAATGGTTCTTATGTTATGGAAGCTTTGATGGATGATTAAAGGGTTTGTGTGGACAGCAGATGGGTGATTCTTAGGGTTGTTGTACATGGGGCTGTTTGGAGTTTGTAGAGGTTTGGGTAAAGGGTTAAGTTTTGGGTGAGGGAGAGGGCTAGTGATATTGAAAGGTGGCTTGTCTGGATAATTTGTAGTTATCTTTAGGGGTTTACTGATAATAGGTGTCACACTCCATCCTAAGAGACTCCCTCGATTTTTTAGAGATATATAACTCGACACGTGATAATACCTGTATCTGTAATGCAATAACGTCTTTAAAGTCAATAGTGCCACCTAATAACACCAAATATAGATAAGTTATATAACAAAGTAAACAATGGTATCGTTTGTATCAAAACAAAAGATTAGAAATTCCATCATTTTACAACAATAGGAAAAACAAACATTTCTCTACAATATATACATAAACTAGATCCCTTAGTTTTCTCTCATCTCTATCATGTTAGTGCAGTAGTAGACACCACTCTAGACTTTCTTATCCTGTAACCAATAATTTTGTTGAGTGTACTGAATATCATAATCAAAGGAAAAATAACAAAAACATGAATCAAATATAATTCCACCAAAAAAAATACTCATAACCCACAAATCACAACCAAAGTGAACTTAAATCACTTTGAAATTCAAATCAACCTCATATATTAAAATAATAAATTTCCACTTAAGCAATGAGTCAAACAACAACACTTAAACAATGTTAAGCTATCAACAACATAAGTAATGTTAAACAGTCTCATAACAACTGCGCAGTGTCCAAACTAACAACATGTAAATCATCTCAAGCTATCAACAACTTGACATAGCGGATAATTACTCAAATCTCAAACTATTCATAAAAGTACATTTGATCCATATTTAAGCAACACATCATATACTTTTATTTCTAATTATTATGAAGCGGTACACTTCATCTTTATCGATGGCAAATACCCCTCATCACTTTACGATCGATTCCTATGTGTAACTGAGATAGTAGTCTTTGACCGTAATATTTAGCATATATGCAAATGCAAGTGAGCATCGACTCTAAAGTTATTTAATTAATGCTAATGAATGCATATAAACTCGTATTTGATGCTCTACTTACTTTAGTTGTACACGATGGCCATACTTAGACTTAGTTAATCATTTCAAATGAGTATATCCCGATCACATTTAGGAACTACTTTAATTCACTCTTTATAGTTTTAAAAATAATATCAATCATCTAAAATGTAATTTATTACCCTTAAGCCAGCAGTTTCAGTAGGTTTAAAGCAATTACAACTCTTGTCTTTAATTACATGATATTATGCTGATTTTTAGCATTGAAGTATAATGTTTAAATTTCTATCAATGATATACAACTTATAAATCACGTGTTTGATTATATGGTTTCAATTCTAGTTACTATAATCACACTACCAATTTCTAACTACTATTTTTCAACACTTGAGAAAACTATTTCAGCTTCTATATAAAATTTTTAGCACCAAACATTAATTTACAGCTTGAATTTTAACACTTATTTTTTTCTATTGATTTCAGC